ACGTGCTTAGATACCGCATAGCAACGCCATACTGGAGAGCAAGCACTCCAGTGATCTCAGACAGTATAGAGGTGACAGAGGTCTGCATTCAAACAAAGAATACAGCGGATAACAAGTTAAGGGGTATCCCAATTCGAGAAATCTTGCAAGTTTTAATCAACAGCTTCCTTGGAGTGTATCAGCGAAAAACGAATTTTGGTGTGATTTTGCTGCTGATACACTCCCAGGGAAGCTGTTGATTACTTCTTACTGGATTTCTCGAATTGGGATACCTTTTGACCTGTTATCGCTGTTTTCTTTGTTTGAATGCAGACCTCTGTCACCTCTATACTGTCTGAGATCACTGGAATGCTTGCTCTCCAGTATGGCGTTGCTATGCGGTATCTAAGCACGTGATCTCTAGCTGCAAAAGGCCTATTATGATTACCATTGTTTGTTTCGTTTTTGATCAAAGAAGCTGATCATGTTGTTCTTGCGGACTTTTGATTCAATCTCCTGACACATCATCTCTCTTTATCTTCATCTAGTAAAGGTATTCGTTTAATGATCTTCCGCATTATAGCCCTTAAAGGAAATAAATAGATAAAAAGAATTACAACATTTGTCAAATCTGTAAAGTCCTAAATATTCGGTTACAAACCTGATTTCATCCAGTTTCTCCTCAACTGTGTCCCAAGGGGAAATGTCTGCATTGTACTCTAAGAGATCTGTTATTAAACACAAATAAAATTATTTTGTTAAATTAAGTCACTTTTTAATACAGAAACGTGTTCCAGGTAACTTAACAAAGAAAATATTACAGATGCGGTTGGTTTTATACTTCATTATACATTACTTATGTTGTCCCGTGACTATATTTATGTATTTTTTACCTTTTGCCAGAGTCATCTCGTCTATAATTTCTTCTACTTGATAGTAATTTAGCCGCAGATTCTGTATAATATTAAGAAGACACAAGTAATTAAGTAGACTAAACGCCGATCCAAAAAATAAGCCCAAGCCAGTGTTACGGTGATCTCTAACACTTTGGTGCAAAATTTTAATAGACCTATGCAAATTGAGCGGGAAAATAAGCAACTAGCGTTGACTTTACAAAACGAAAGAAAATTTACGAAATGCCGCGTTCTTCTTTTAAGAAAAGGAGATTATAGGACTAGGTCCAACTTTGCAAAGGCAGGAAAAATGACGACTGTGGAACAAGTTCTCCAAAGTGCGAATAAAAAAAGTTCGTAAACCTGGACACATGGCTAACAGAAAGTAAACGATGCAAGGTCTCTTTAAGGAACGGGAAAACTGAGATAACTTGCGTTTGTTTTGGTTAACTAAGGAAAAATATCATGGGAGGTATATGCTAATCAGCATTGACTTCAAACGCAAAATATCTTTTCCAGCAAAATATCTCATGCTATCCCTCTTTTTATAACTTCCAGTATTCTACCTATTAATATGCTCTATTTTGAAACCGTTTCTGCAATAATGCATGATGTTTCAACTAGCTCTACACCAAGGAATATTCGTGAACTTTTTATTAATTCAGCTGACGTCCATACATATAATACGCGTTTCTCTTCCACAGAGAATTTTTATGTAAAGAAATCTAGATTGCATGTGAAATTTAAGTCTTTCTCTGTGTTGGTACGAGGTTATGGAACTGTCCAAACCCTGACTTGCGTAAGCTCACGAAAAGAGCATTTAAAAGGAAAATTCATAAGTTGCTTTTGACTATACTTGGGATTGAGGACTATTATGTTGATGCCCTTTCACTGATATTAAAATTCAATACCAATGATTATCGAATATTATAACTGTAGTACTTCGCTCACATCCGGCGTATGTCACAATCATCTCCTCTCTACTTTCCAGTCTGTTCTGCCTGTATTTGATTATTATCTCTTGTTTTAACCTACTAGTAAATTTATTGTATTTAATTTGTATGACAACTGTACGTATCTTTTAGCTTATAATGTAATAAACTAATGTATGGCTTATAACCCCAGTAATATTGTAGTAATAAAATCTCTTTCAGGTAGCTTGAAATGTGTAGTATTTACTTATTTATTACAAATACCCGCCAAGACTAGCTAATGCTATATTCGGGTTGTGTAAGTTTGCTTTAATGTACTATGAAATGATAATAAATAAACAGTCAAACAGTCAAACAAAGGGCTAGCAAAGGTTTTCTGCTAACTTGAAATTTTGAGAACGTATAGATTGATTCAAACATAATTACCTACCACACTGTCATCTGAACCCTTCAAATGTGTAAGCAATTTTTTCAAAGAGCTAATGAAATACTTAAGAGTGACCAGCATCTAATTTATCCTTACATAATCAGCCCTAAATCACACGTTAAGGTCACGAGAATGAAAGTGATGATCACCAAGTGAAGAAGCTCTTGATTGTTGAATAAATTCTCCTTGGGAAATGAACAGAGAACAGTATGCAAAATATGCATGCTGATGTTAGGGGTATAGAGGGTTAAGGATCCGCGGTTACTCTAAGTTGCAGTACTTAGTCAAAATCTCCTAAGAGAATGG